AACTCCACACAAATATGGTAGTACACAGGATTTTTTTTCTTGTAATAAGGGAATTCTGCATGATAAATCCAGTAAAATCCACATGACCACTTGGGAAAAACACAATTCTGCTTCTAAACAGTTTGAGAATTGTAAAGGTAAGTGAAACTTGCTGCTTACACCATAAGACTGATGTCTGTGAAAATGAAGCATTTCTCAGCATGCGCAAATGCAGATACATCTATGATATTATTTCAATGAAATTATAAATTTCAGACCACCCTAGGGAGTGGAGAAATAGATTCCATTAAATTCCATCTTTTTAACAACAGATTGGACAGAATACAACAGTGAGATGATTTTGTTATCCAGTACTTGTAGGAGGAGGTAAAATTTTCAGTTAAACAACTCTATTAGTTACTACCAAAGTATTAAAATAAAACTATATTGTCATAGTGAATTGCTTTTGTGTGTGGTTGCTTTCTGTCCTCTTACTTGGTTCCCTTCTTAGGGGGCAGAAGAAAGAATAGAAGAGTAATCTGAGTTAAGATAATGACTTTACTAAATATCATACTCCAGCACTCCATGTCTCAGGACTTTCAGGGGAGCAGAAGTGAATAGAGACTCTGAGGTTTATTGCTCTGTCCTTTGCCCTCTAGCATCAGAGCTGAAGACAAGGAAATATTGTACTCTAAGAACATAATGGCAAATCTCTTTCCTAGATTGTAAATTTATGCAAAACTGACACATTTGTCCATTAAATAAACATTTTCCACATTTTGGAAAGCATATTGGTGGATTTCAGTTTCATCTGCTGTGTGGGAAGTGGGTTCACAGGATGCATTTGTAGAAGAACTAACAATGAAGAAGGATTTTTGGCTTTCTGACTACAGTTTTCTGCCTCTATTAGCAATCATGTCATATAATCTTCCTTAGTTATTTGTAAAACTTCAACTTGCAGGTTGAAACTCGATTAGTTTATACCTCCATTTCAATTCCCTGTGAGGAAAGAAATCTTAGATAATGAGAGTACCTTGTTTTGTTCTCTTCTAGGATGGTTACTTCCAGTTTAGTTTCCTGATAAGAGTTTGAGTTAGGGTCTTTCAGCTTTCCAAATGACTAGTGTCATGTAGGCCACTGCAAAATATCAAGCAATCTACTAGATAGAAAACAGTGAGGCAGGAAATCCCTGACTTTCTGTTAGCCTCAAATAGCTCATCTTTGCCCCCTCTGTCTTTCACCTCCTTGTGTCCCTGAGGATGACACCCATTACTGAAGTGTGCAGATGGACTCCCACAAGCCCTATAATGCCAACTCTCAGCACCATACTCCCTGGATATCACTTGCCTGTGGGAATTCACTACCAAGATGCTAAAACTGTCTTTTGCCCACATGACTTACCACTGTTGCTTCCAGCAGGACCCATTGCCCTGGGGTGATTTGGAGATACATTTTACTTTAAATATTTAAACCTGAATCAAAACTACTTTTTTTTTCTTTCTCTCTTACCTTAAGTTTAACCAGTGCTGAAATACAGTAACATAAAGTATATTTTGCTGTGTGTTCTCTTTTAATTCTCTCCTTGCTTTTCCACCCACACATAAATACACACAGTCTTCAATATCACAAATACCATGAAAAAAAAACCAGGAATCAGAAAGTGTCCAGTTGGCAGAAGGGAGTGCTTTCCTCAGCCTCTTTTTATGTCTCTCAGTCATCTTTCACTGAATAATATAAAACTTCCACATTAGGCAAAAAACACCGTTTCAGAATTTTGAGTTGAATATTGTATCTAAAAATGTTACACATGTTCCAGTAAACAGAATATTCATATACTGCACAATGGCACTGTCTTCTCAATCCCATCACGGAGCATAATTAGCCTCGAAGGATCTTCTTTTTATATATGTCCTTAGGATTTCATGGCTCCCAAAAAATGCTGAATGTCTAAAATTCTCATGAAACTGCTACCCACGATTCTTTCTTTGAAAAATTTGGAGGAAAATTAGTAACAACTTACACACTCCCAGAAACCAATGTTTTTTCTGAGAGGGTGATGTTACTTGTTACTGGGGCCACATTTCTTTTCATTCACAGCATCCATATCATATTGAAAGGTGCATTCTGATAGAGCCACTATGAGGCAGTAGGACATTTAACCTGTAGCTGGTAAAAGGAAGAACTTTGCTGTCTGAACTTAAAGCAAGTCATTAAAGCCAGTAAATTCAAGATGTAGCTTTTCAGCCCTTTGTCACATTATGAGCAGCATTTAACATTGGTAGTTTAATGGTAGACAGGAACATTTTTCATGATTGGTCAAATAAAAAAAAATTCCTGAGTTTTTTCTTCATGCATCCGGAGAGCTGCAAAACTAACCAAGGACAAATATGAGACTGCTGAAATATGAAACAATTAAAGGAAATCCCAGTTTAAATCATAATCTCCAGATGGAAAGTGTAAAAAAAAAAAAAAAAAAAAAAG